TCGTAGAATAAACAACTCTGCCTCAGAGGAAGGACAGCTGGAAGGCTCCTTAGAACCAAGGATGGTAAGACTTCACCTCTCAGACTCCAGACATGTTGTCAGGAGGGACCAGCACTGGAGAAGGTAAAGTAGAGGGTCAGTGAAAAGGAGGAAGACTTTCAACAAGATGGACTGGCACAGGGGCTGCAATGGCCTGGAGCACAGCAGTGCTGGCAGACGGTGCCACGTGGTCGCCGTGAGCCAGGCCAGCCATCGCAGGGCCTAAGGAAGCCTTTTCCTTCTCCAGCAAGCGCTGGTGTAAATACGGAGCCTCCGCTGGTGTCTTCCCTACGGGGCACAGGTGTGAAAACAGGGTCCACGTGCTGAACCTAGGCTGTAGTCAGCGCTCCGGGCCCTCACATGACCTATCATCAGACAATGACTAGGTTGGCTTCTTTTTGAAACTTAGTGTCAAAAAAGTTAGAAAAATAAAGGATTTTATTATTTCAGATTTACAAAATACTTTAATAGACAACACAGAGCTGTGGTGGCACATTGCCTAAGGCATTTGACTGCTAACCAGAAGGTTGGTGGTTCAAACCCACCAGCTGCTCCCTGGAAGGATGAGGAGGCAGTTGACTTCCATAAAGATTTACCACCTTGGAAACCCAGTGGGCATTGCTGTGAGTCAGAATTGACTCAATGGCAGTAGGCTTGGGTTTTTTTTGGTTTTAATAGAGAAAACCTTGCTGACTGTTCTAGAGTACATGTAAGCTAAGAGAGGTTAAGTGACTTGCCCAAGAACACAATGCAAGGATGTCACAAAGAGGGAAAAAAAAGTGGGGTGTGTGTCAGGAGGAGGACTGACCTTCCAGTCTTGTGCCAGTGCTGGGGCCTATGGCTGCACCCGAGAATGGACCTCACCTCCACAGTTCTGGATGGAGCCACACGGATGTGCAAGAGGGTCTGAGGAAATAGAGGGTGGACAGCGTAGGGGAGAGCTTGTCCTACAACTGTGAAGCTCAGACGGGAGGACAAGGTGGCCATAGAACCTGGGACCCTGAGGCTTTGACATCACAGTGTCTGACAAGAACCCTGAGCTCACATCCCCACAGCATTTTCCTGAAGCAGGGGTGCATGGAACATGTGACAGGATGGACCCAAGCTTGCCCAAGACAACACCCCATGCTCGTCAATGTTGCGCCACAGCTCTGTCCTACACCCGCCACTCCCGCCGGCCGGGCTGCAGCTGACTGCGCCCCATCTAAGCGCGCCTCCCTCAGCATGACTTGTGTGGCCTCGGCTACTGGCCACTCCCGCACACCCCCATCACCAGCTGACAACGTCCGGCACGTGGCTTCCCCCAGAGGCACGCTGGGTGTACAGGTTTGCTGGCCCCCGCCCAGTGCCCCCCTGTGACTGCTGCCCTACCTGTCATTGCCATGCTGTCTCTCTCAGCCACTTCTATTCTCTGTCTATTCCTCCTCCCTCCCCTTCAGCCCCCTTCTCTTTTCACAGTTTCACTCTCAAAAGTCAGCATAAAGGACTTTGGTTTTTCAGAAGTTCACTCTGAATGTCCTCTGTATGTACTTCACTCAGTCTTTGATTGCATTTAGCCACTGAGCGTATGTTGAGTGCTGGGTGGTCCCCAGGGACAACAGGGGGCAGAGCTGGCATTGTCACCAGACAGAGGGTGGGCAGACTCCGGGGACAAGTGGGGACTGAGGCTAGCACTGTCTCTGTCCAGAGGGTGGGCAGAGCCTGGGGACATGTGAGGACCAAGGCTGGCACTGTCCCTGTCTGGGGTTGGAGTGCCATGAAGGAGTCAGTCTGAAAGAACTCTGAAAAATAGAAGTGAATATGCTAAGAGGAGATGGATATCTAAGAAGAAAACCTAAAATAAGGGGATGTGTTCCAGTCCTAGGGACCGGGAAGGTCCCCCTCAGAGGGGCAGCAAAGCACGGCCCTGAAGAACAATTACCAGTGGACAGCTGTGTGGAGAGGGCCCAGTCCCCAAGGGGCTGGTGAGGCAGGAGGGTGCAAGGATGAAAGGTGTCCTGCAAAAACTGAAAGGAGACCACTGGGGTTGATGAGGAAGAAGCCAAGTGGTAGATGGGCAGGTACCCAGCAGGACCGTGTCTGCCCACCTTCACAGTGGAGGGGGGCTATCCTGTAAGGCCCCATGGGCACCCCACCAGGAGCATGTCTGCTCACCTTCACAGTGGAGGCTGGTTCCCCTGCAAGGCCCCGTAGCACTCCACCAGGACCGTGTCTGCCCACCTTCACAGTGGAGGGACCCTGTAAAGCTCCATGGGCACCCCCCAGGACTGTGTCTGTTCACTTTCACAGCGGAGGCTGGTCTACTCTGTTAGGCCAGCACTGGTTGGTAGCTGCCATTTTTACAGTCACACTAAAATTCCAAGTTGTGGTCCTTGGAGCTCATGTGTGGGGTCTTTCCAAGTGGGCCCAGTGGCCACTGAATCAGTTCCAACTCCTGGCACCCCACACATCAGAGCAGAGCTGGGCCCCGCTGGGTTCTCCAAGGCTCACCTTCCAGAAGTGCATCAGCAGCCTTCCTTCCAAGCACCCCTGGGTGGACTCACAGCTGCAACTGCTCAGTCAGCCGCTGAGCACGCTTACCCCTGCAGCCCTCAGAGACTTCCAAGAGGATGGAGATGCAGAAGGTCTTCCTTCTACTACATCTCAATGTGGAACCCACTGGCCCTAGGGAAATGTGACTACAAGCAGGTAGGAGTAATTTCTTTTATAAAATCATGTTTCAAATTAAAGTGTTTATGGGTATAATAAGTGAGCTTTGGTGGCATAGTGCCTAAGGCATGTGACTGCTAGCCAAAATGTTAGTGGTTCAAATCCACCAGCTGGTCCATGGAAGGAAGATGGGGCAATCTAATCCCATAAAGATTCATACCCTGGAAATCCAGCGGGAGTCGCCATGAGTTGGAACTGACTTGATGGCAGTGGGTTTGGTTTTTGGTTTGGTTTGTGGGTGTAATGGGTCATCAGCCACAGTGTATGGGCTATTGCAAACCCACTGTGCCCTTCACGTGTCCATAACAGGATGCACCGCCATTTATAGTTCACAAATGTATGGGCTCAGAGTTCCAGGCCACAGCCCATGTCATAGTGTCCTCTGAAGTCTCCCCTTCTCTGGGATGCTGCCCCGTGATGAGAATGCCCTTCTACATTTGTGTGGCTGCATCAGGACCTTCTTGGTGCTTCAGAGCTCAGGAACCACATAATTTTGAAATCGGAAGACACCTGGTTGACCCTCTAGTCTATGTCCCTTCTCTCAGCTCTAGAGACACCCACTGTCTACATACCTGGGCAAGGTAAGATGTCTTTAGAACAGATGTCTGGGAAAATATTTACCACTTCACAGCATGAAGATGCGGGACTTAATCACTGCATTGCTACCTCAAAACACCACCTTTCTCTGTCACATATTAACGACTTTCTTTGCCCACTTGTGGCCTTTACAGTTCCAAGGTTTTCATATCTTCTGGGGTGTCCTGGGGACACTTCTTGCAGCTGCACATAAGGGTCTGTCATTTGAGGTAAGAATAGGCGAGGTTCAAGAGAGGACCTAGCTGACTACTAAGAAAACTCAGTTACAAACCTGAGATGAGGGGCAGCTTTAGAGAGTTTCAAGTGTGTCACTTAGAGCCATGACTGTGAGTGCTGGAGGATCACACACCAACAAAGCATTAGTTGTGGCCTTGCAATCCACCCTGGACTCCACTTCTTACAGTGTGTTACTGCACACAATGATGGGGGCCGTTTCAGGAACTGTTCTGCCCCTCACCCCAAGCCTCTACTCGGGGCACACTGTGCCTGTTGTCACTGCTCAAAGTGAAGTGAAGAGAAAGTGGTCTATGAAGGGAGGGTTCAGATACTACACTCCTATCATTTCAGGGTGTCAGGAGAAGATTACCACCCCCTTCCCTCCGTCATTCATGTGCATGTACACACATGCACACACACACAAACACACATACACACACACAACCCTCTCCTCTCAACTAGAGCTGACATGCAAGATCTGTTTACAAAAGTGTTTTGTAAACAGCAAAGCATTATTGGAAAATTCACATTACAATTGGAGGACTGGAACTCATCTTATAGACTATTCTTTGAAGAACAAAAAATTAAAATTTACTTAACTTTTCAGGATAACACTATTACATAAAACAAGGCATATGTCAATTTTACTAATCATCTTTGCATGACTTTTTATTTTCAATATTTTGCAATGTCTACCTTTTTATGTTTTTATTTAGATATACCAAGTCACTTGACTTTGTACCATTTTTTGACTCATGTAACCAAACTGTTGTGTAGAGCATGAGACCACTGCTGTCCAGACAGCCACTGCTCCCTCACTGTGTCCCTCTGAGACACCCACCCTGCAGATACCACCAATCCCCCCTCACCGTGTCCCTCTCTAAGACACCTACCCTGCAGAGAGCCACCATCCCCCCTCACTGTGTCCCTCTCTGAGACACCCACCCTGCAGACAGCCACCATCCCCCCTCACTGTGTCCCTCTCTGAGACACCCAGCCTGCAGAAACCCCCCGTCCCCCTCACCGTGTCCCTCTGAGACACCCACCCTGCAGACACCCACTGTCCTTGCCCCTCTTGTGTCCCTCTCTGATGAACTGACAGATGCAGGTCCCACTAGAGGCATCACATGAACAGAACTTTCCACACACTCGGTCTAGATAGACATAACTTGGACGCACCAAGGCAGATCCTACATCAACTTTCTGATCTCAAGCTCTTGTTTACGGAAGCCTGGGATGCTGGTCATTCTCTCTAGGTCAGATGGCAGAGACCCCATTTCCACAACTTGAGCCCTAACATGGGGTGGAACCATAAGGAAGGACGGGTTCTACCACCCGTGATTTGCCGCATGCATATTCTAGGCTGTCAGCCCCATAGAGCAGCCAGACCCTGGACCTCATGCAATGACAAAGGGGAACTGAGACGGACTGGCACTCACGGTTGTGGCAGGTGGCCCCGCTGTATCCGGTCTCGTCACACGTGCACTTGAAGCTGTCCCAGGTCTGCGAGCACCTGCCGCCATGCTCACAGTGATTGGGCACGCATCTGCCAGGGAGACAGAGAGAACCAACACCGTGAGACTTACGAGCGGCCACCTTCCAGCTGTCTGGGCAAGGTGTAATCCCCATGCCAGTGTCCCTTACCCAGGTGATGAACCCTTGTTAGTGTGAGCAGATTGATATGACTCAGGCTAGCAAGTGCTACCTGCACAGAAGAGGGGCAGCCCGGCTGGGGCCCTACACGAGTCAACTGATGAAATCAGCAAACAGAGGAGGCTGCATTTATGTGTCATGGATTCATTCCACTTTCCTTCAGCACAAACACAGAACTGCCAGCTAGCAAACATACATCCAGGTGCCATGGAACAGCAGGGAGACTGTGGGCTTCTTTACTACCTACGGCCAGGAGCTCAGTCAATCGGCTACTGAAACAGCCAGCAAACAGGATACAGGGGGACACACAGGCTGTGGGTGCAAATCCTTGTCTTTCTGTTGCCTTAGCTTAGTGATAGTGACTACTTAATCTAAACTTTCTAACCTCAAGTATACCTTTCTCCCAGGTTGTTTCAGCGCTCAGAGGTCATGCTTGCAGAGCAGATAACTAAAGGCAGGGAACAGACCAAATGGCATCAGGAGGGACTGCACCTGAGTGTCCAGGAATGAGTCCGTGGCTTGGCTGCCCCAAGAAAGAGTGGCATCGGGATTCATTCTGGAAGGTTCTGGCTTCACAGAGGCCTCCCTTCCTCAGGTGCTGTGGTAGTTCAGTATGTGTGTCAACTTGGCTGGGCCTGGTTGAGTGGCTGGGCAGCTGGTGGTAGTTAATCTCCGTGAGGAGAATGGCAATCAACTCCATGGTGGGATCTACCACAAGCAGCTGGGTAGCTGCCTTTGGGTATGTGGTCTGCTTCCTGCATTTATTGAGAAGCCTTGGGAATGGTCTCTAGCCTATGGCACGCTTGGACCCTGTATGTAGCCATGTCGTTGCTCAGCAGCCTGCTATGCTCTGCCGACCTTGGGACTTACAGTGGACTTAAGTTAATGGCCTGCCGTGTGATTTGGTAACATTGGGACTGTGCCTTTTGACTTGTCAACCTTGGGGCTTCTCAGCCTCAGCAAACAGCAGCTGTCTGAGTGAAGAAATGCCTCTACCTCCAGTGGGCTGGAAGCCAGAGGCAGAGTTAGACCCCAAGGTCGAGGGGCTTTCACCCAGCCCCTAGAACCTGGCACTTTGAAGTTGGACTAAAGCCTCCAAATTGTAAGAATAAACTCCTGTTTGTGAAGGCCATCCCGTTTGTGGTATATTCTTGTCAGAGCGGCACTAGGGAATCAGAACAGGTGCCATCCCTGATGCTCCCTGAGTTCCTCTCTGTAACAGCCCCGCAGCTTGATCCTTTGTGGCTTTAGTGAGGACGCTCAGATACCAAAGGCACTGTGAAGTGTCAGCATTTACAACATACATGGACACAAACCTGGTGACATGGAGAAGGCACAGGATGGGCAAGGCTCCCTCTGCCACTCATAAAGCCAAGCCAGCTCCAGGGCAGCTAGCAACACTCACAAAGCATTTCTCAATGTGGCAGGAAATCCCCTAAGCCAGAAAGCCCCCCACATTAAAGCAACAGGACCGAGAAGCAGGGGGTGAGGTTCACAGGCACGAGGTTGAGAGAGTGCCTTCCTGCACAGAGACCCTCATCGTGCTGCCCAGGGAGCTGGCCCAATAGTGCCCCTCCAACCCTGTACCTGGCTTACCTTCAACTATGCTGGAAGCCACTGTAAGCAGACACAAGCCCTGGGTTCTGCATAGTTGTACTTTTTCTCCACACCTCAATCACACAGCAAGCATATACTGAGCCCCTGCTGTGTGCACAGCATGGGAAAGGGACAGATATGACTCTCTTCCTAGCCCCTGGAGAGCTACAGTCTAGGAGACATGCTGTGCACATGAGGACTCTAACAGGAGCAGAATCGGAAATGGTAAAACGTAAGGAAATGTGGAATGGACACCACATTTGGTAAAGCAGAGGGTGAGTGAAAATGCTGGACACCCTCAGTCAGGTGGACTGACAACGCACTGCAGCACACTGACCATCAAGGAGACGGCGCAGGACCCAGCAACAGACTCAAACAGGGCAACGGTCGTGAAGATGCAGTGGGACCCACAACGGACTCAAACAGGACAACGGGTCGTGAAGATGGGGTGGGTCCCAGCAATGGACTCAAACAGGGCAACGGTCATGAATGGGGTGGGACCCAGTAAGACTCAAACAAGGCAACAGTCGTGAAGATGGAGTGGGACCCAGCAACAGACTCAAACAGGACAACGGTAGTGAAGATGGGGTGGGTCCCAGCAATGGACTCAAACAGGGCCAACGGTCGTGAATGGGGTGGGACCCAGCAACGGACTCAAACAGGACAATGGTTGTGAATGGGGTGGGACCAAGTAAGACTCAACCAAGGCAATGGTTGTGAAGATGGCGCAGGACACAACACCACTTCATTTCATCATGTGCAAGGTCCCCACGACTCAGAGCTGACTCAGCAGTACCTAACAATGATGATGACAACAGCATGAGGGACCATGTGTAGACTGGGCACAATTACAAGCTGTTGGCTTTAGAGCAAAGCAAAGACAAAATGGTGGGTCATCACAAGGTGGGAATGAGGCCTTTGCCCCAAATTTAACAAGGACCTATTTTCCCCATAAATTGGAACTTGATGGTATCAAGGGTACCAAGAGAATTCATCTCTAAGACTCTAACCTAGGGCTTCCAGTGAGATGGAGGAATAGGCAGACAAGCAACACAGACCCTCTTCAACAAAGAAAAGAGAAATCATTTGACAGAGATACAGAAGATAATGCTGGAGCCCTGAGCTTTGAAATGGAGTATACAGAAGTGGATTAGGCACCAACCAGTGGAAAAACCTGAATGAAAACAGTTGAGTACAGAGATGGCTGGAGCAGTGGACTGTCAGCTACTCTGATGGGACCAAGAGCCTAAATATTTCCAAGTGGTGTTGGGACTTGAGAATTGACCTAAAGATCAGCTGTGGTCACCAAGGGCTACAGGGACGACTGTGCTGGTGGCCTATGATTAGGAAGGGAAACAGCAAGGAAGGAGACAAGCTGAGCTGTGGACTTTCTACTGTCTGGACGGTGCAGCCATTTTGATTGTTTACAAGTGGCAGCCATTTTGGATATTTAAAGTGACTGAGGACACAGCCATTTTGAATCTTTACAAATGGCAGCTATTTTGGAGTTTAAAGTGACAGCATGCTCATTCGGATTCCAGGGACCTAAGAAAAGACTCCATTTGCCAAGGACAGCAGGGACATACAGGAGGCTGACAATGGGAAAGGAGACAGGTAGTGAGTGTATAAGTGCTGCCAACTAGTGAACAGAGAAGCACAGCACAGTACCCTGCTTATGTAGATAACATACAAACAAAACAAATAAAACAATAATCATGGGCAAGTCACTCCAACATCCAAGCACCAATTAAATATAAACACAAAAACGTCACAATGCCTCGGAGACAACAGAGCATCACAGACCACACAAAGAAGCAAGATAAAGCAGGAGAAACAAGGGACCAGGATACAGACACAAAACACATCCCTGAGGAAGATGGAGCATTGGAACTCCTATTAAGGAATTCAGAAGAATTATATTTCGATATCTTCAATGAATTAAGAGACAGATCAAGGAAAACACTGATAAAATTGAGGAAAAGACAGAGAAAACCCTACAACAATTTCAAAAGACAATACAAGAACAAAATGACAAAATAAATGAAAAATTAGAAATGATACAAAATCTACCCATAGAAATCCAGAAGATTAATACTAAATTTTCAGAGGAAAATAAGACCTTGAATGGGAAAAGGAGTAGAATTGAATCAATGGAAGACAGAATTAGTGAGATTGAAGGCAAATACCCCAATACTTCTTTTGAAAGAAATCAATCAGAAAAAAGATCAAAATAAAATGAAGAAAGCCTAAGGTTCATGTGTGATACCATCAAAAGGAATAACCTACATGTCATCAGAATTCCAGAACAGGAAGAGACAAATAAAATCACAGAGAAAACTGTTAAAGATTCGTTGGAAAAGAATTTTCCTGGTATGATGAAGGATGAGAATATATCCATTCAAGAAGACCAATGAATCCGAAACAGGATAGACCCCACAAGAAAATCACTAAGACATATCATCATCGAACTCACCAAAGCCAAAGACAAAGAAAGAATCCTGAAAGCAGTATGGGAAAAACAAAAAGTTACCTACAAAGGGAAACCAATAAGACTAAGCTTGGAGTTCTTGGAAAAACCATGCAGGCAAGAAGCCAATGGGATGGTATATACAAAACCCTGAAAGAGAAAATTTTCCAGCCAAGAATTATGTACCCAGCAAAGTTGTCCCTCAAATATGATGGTGAAATTAGGACATTTCCAGATAAGCAGAAATTAAGGGAATTTGTTAAAACCAGGCCAACCTTATAAGAGATGCTAAAAGGAGTCCTTTGGACAGAGAACCAACAACAGCAAACAACTGACCATTAGCACACATGATGACATAATCCAAAAACTGACCAGTAATGGAAGTATCCAAAGTAAAAAAGCCTACAAGATTGTAAACAGGAAACTAGAGACATCAACTGACAACTACAAACCAAATAGAGGGTAAAAACTGTGTTGTTATAGAACTTCTAAGTGGTAGAGAAATCAAGACAACTACAAGATAGGACAAACTGTTCTAAACTTGGGAAGAAAATGATAAATCACAGGGTAACCTCAAAGAAAAATGATAAATCTTAACATCAAAATAAAGAAGAGGACCAGCACAAATATTTGTTGTTGTTGTTGTTATTTGCCGTCGAGTCGGCCCCGACTCATAGCGACCCCTCCTTGGGTTTCCAAGGCAGTATCACTACGGAAGTAGGAATGCCCAACCTTCCTTCCAAGGAGCGGCTGGTGGGTTTGAACCACCAGCCTTCTGGTTAGCAGTCAAGTGCCTTAGGCACTATGCAAATACTAAAACAATAGCAAGG